GCTTAGAAGGAACTTTGGACAACGCTGTCCTTGACAAGCGAAAGCTCCGTCATCTCTGTCTGAGCCATACCCTGTGTCAGATGTAATACATGAGTTGTGACTTCTCCTCAATTCCCACAAGTGCAGTGGCCAATTAGGATCAGGACCACTGTGCATGCACAGAAGGGGGGGGTGCGGTCTTCCTCCCTGCACCATTTTCCAAATCTGAAACAGTCCCAGGGTGCTATCTGGAGAAGCCCCATGTACTCCTGGGGATACAAATAGGCTTCCCCAAGAGGTCCAGTGGCAGCCCCAGGTCTGTTTCCTTAAATGGCACCTTCATTTAAGGCTCAGTGGTACAACACCTGTTTGCATGCAGAAGGTCCTGGCTTCAGTTCTTGACATCTGTCACTGGGGAAGTGTGTATGTGTGTTTGTGGGGTGGGGGGGTGTAGCTGTGAATTTCCTGTCTTGTGCAGGGAATTGAACTAGATGACGCGTGGTGTCCCTTCCAGTTTCTATCTCCAGTTAAAAGAATCAGGTAGACAGTGGTGGGCAAACTCATTAGTCAAGAGAGCCAAATATCAACAGTACAACGATTGAAATTTATTTTGAGAGCCAAATTTTTAAAACTTTAACTATATAGGTAGGTACATTGTTATTAACTTAATTACGGTACTCCTAAACTGGCCTTTGCTAAAAATGTCCTCAATCTGATTGAGGTACGTTCGCTGAGGTCGACCCCTTCCAACTCTCCCATCCACACTCGTCTTGTATACTTGTTTCGTCTCCTTTTGTTCATCCTCTCTATATGTCCAAAGTATCCATAAAATTAAATCATGACAAAATAAATCATGACAAACACTAATGTGAACAATGGCCTTGCATCTCCTTGGAAAGTTTGGGTAAGTCAGGTTTGTATGTTGTTGTTTTTAATTTTAGGCATGCACTAGAGAGCATCAATATGTATGGCCTCGCTGGACCAGATTCAAGGTTCTTAGCTAGCAGCTAGCATTCTGTTCCCACCTGCAGCCTTCCAGAGGCCTCTGGAAGCTCAAAGAGCTGTTTGCCCTCCCCCATTCTCTCAACAGCATTTCATACTAAAAGGTTCAGTGTCCCTGAATGCAAGCTTGATTGTTCACAATATATTTCATCTTGCTCAAAGAGCTGTTTGCCCTCCCCCATTCTCTCAACAGCATTTCATACTAAGAGGTTCAGTGTCCCTGAACGCAAGCTTGATTAAGTTCACAATATATTTCATCTCTACGGGTTCCCCCCCCTAAACTTCCCACCCACATCTTGTGGCAGTGGCTTTTACAAGTTAACTGGGCGGGGG